ACACACACACACACACACACACACACACACACACACACACACACACACACACACACAGCTGCTGTCACCCAGCCAATGTGTGTTCACCATGATTGGATTCTGTTTGATTGTGCAAACACTTGATTTGCATGAGACACATTTGGAACGTTCCTTGTTTTTCTTCTTCTTTCTTTGCGTGCCGTACAGCCCACAGGTTTATTTAGCCCAATTATCTTAGATGTGGTATGGTTTGATCAAATGCGTGAGCAAGAGAAAAGGGCCAAAAAAAATGTTTTCAGACTTTTGTGTGAACTAGTTGCATCAGTATTAATTCGTCCGGTTCTTGTGATTCTGMAAAGCTCTGTCTCCAGGATATATATGATACAGGAGTGGGTGGGCTTTGAATAAACACAATACTGAGGTGAGGAAGGGCCATCTAAATGAAGCATGTAGGAAGAAACAAGAGTTGACTGAATGAGTGAGGAAAAGGATGCACTGTTAGACCCACAAACGCATTTAGACCTGATGAAAACAAAGTCGACAAAAAATGAATGTCCCAGTGCAGTATAGGACTAGTCTGGTCATTTTTGTTGTCAAATACTCATCAATAGTTAGCTCATTATTAGCTGTAACAGTGCAGAACATCATTATGAGGAACATGGCGGAAAAATTTGTCCATTGATGATGCGCGGATTGTTACTGAAATATCGATACTACGATACCGGATCTTTATGATCTAAAATCGATTCTAAATTAAAGATATGAATAACTTAATACTGCCATGTCAGGCAAGTATGTGATTAACAGAAAYMCAGTGGAAAGTAACTAAACAATTTTGTCTAAAACAYAGGGGGCTGGTGAGAACTACTTTTTCTTCCGCCTGGATGCTGCATAAGTGCAGCAGCACATGCTCAGTGAGTCACTCAGTCTGTGTTATTTACATTCAGTAATGTGTATTTTGTATGATTGTGTCCTCTGTTTTTTTCTGYTGTATTAGTCTGGCTATATTGTAAATGAGGATGCTATAAATACACTTCTGGTTTTAAAATGAATAAATTAATTAATCGGATATATTGTGTTCATTATGAAATGGGGATTTGAAATATAATTACTGTTTTTGGATTTACCAGACACATTAACTGTGTTTTCACAAAGTATCAGTATCAGCTAAGTATTGCCAATACCAGYTTGTGTTTTACTAGATATTGAAATCAGAAAGGAACATGGTGGTATAACACATCACTAGTGCCCTTTCTATTGGGACTAGCCAAATGATGGGTTTTTTATATTGTTTTTCAGGCTATTAACTCTATCCTTAAAATGTTATAATGGTGTGGGAAACACTACATTAGCTAATATATAATTATACATTTTATATTTTTACATGACACTGTTTAGTCTTTTTGTTGTACTTTCAAACCTTCAGTGTATTACTGTGTACGGTTCTCTRATTCTCTGTCTCTTTCCTGTCCTCCCAAACCTAGCCAGTCGAGGCAGATGGTGGCCTGTACTGAGCCTGGTTCTGCTGGAGGTTTCTTCCTGCTAAGGGGGAGTTTTTCCTCTCCACTGTCACCAGTGCGCTGCTCAGGATGGGAGACTGTGACAAAGTGATTCAACGCAATATGTTGGCTTCTTCAGATTGTTTTTTGTACGGTGCCCTGAGAAGACGTATGTTGTGACCTGGCACTACTGTACCTAAATAAACTGAATTGAATGGAATTAATTGTTCTGGCATTGACCATTATCTTCCATTAGTGCTGTGGAACAGCTGGGAGTTAAGTAAAAGTTTAGCCTGACTATATACAGTAGATGTGGCTGATTAGACATTTAGCAGCCTCTCAGCACAACTGGAACATAACAGATAATGCTTTGTGTAGTAATACAAATGCTTTTCCTGTTGWCAAATCAGCAACAAACTAAACAAACTATATCACGAGACAGTGTTGATGTTCAACATTAGCTATTGTGTAGAAATACCAGGATTGGTCACCAATTTGTGGCATGCATGGATACTGTGCTAATTACAGTTTATTGCCCAATAATAAAGGTGAAGCTGACATGCRGCTTTCAGCCATGCCTTTGTGTGCATGTGTGTATGTGTGTGTTTGTTTCTTGCATAATCAAAATATCTAGTGTATGACTGGACACATTTTAATGAAGCTCTAATTAGATGTACATCTACAACTAATTAACTATTGGAACCTATCCCATTCAAGAAGGCTGCTCCAGTTAAACACATTAGAAAACACCAAAATGGCTTYAATTCAGCCATTTTTACAGAGACTGAACTAAAATTTGATGTGAGAGTGTTGTACAATGCACAMGCTGAGCTCTAACATATCACATAAGATCTGATTTTTAAACGTTGGCAATAACTAAACATAGCACAGAAAGTAAGGTTTTTTGTGTCCTGATGTGTCTAAATAATCCAGGTAGAAAAATAAAAAAAAGGTTGAGTAGGTCCTTCTTTGTTGAAAAAAAAAAGCTTAATTTCTTCTCCAAAACACTTTGGAGGAACTCGTCCAGAGGATCTACTCAGCTTTTAGTTTAGACAAGGAAATTTATATAAATTTGTTGTAACAATGCTTCTTGGCAATAAATCAAATGCAGTTGGAAAGGCTGTAAATTTCACTTTTAAATGGTGACATATTCGTAAGGAACATGCATTTGTGGGATGAGCAGTAGAGCTTATCCTGCTGTTGCTATTGACACTTGTTTTGARCATCTGGTACCCCCAAGTTCTGCCAATTAGTTGTCCACTGTAAGGTTTATTGTCAAGAAACACTGTTACAACAGAAATAATCTACCAAATACAAATGTCCTTAAATCAGCTGTGTCTGACTTTTAGCAAAACATGTCATGAACCACTGGATAGAAAATCAAAAATTAATCACTGAATGTATTTTTAGAAATGATTAAAACACTTGCTGATCTAGATGAACATGACAGCAGATCAATATTAGCCAAACTACAAATGACAAWGACTGAGTTTTAGACTTGCTAAGCTAAAAAATGTTGTGATTGTACTCTGAGTGAGACTACCTTTGCCTAAAATTATGTCATTAACTGTTAAAATCAACAATGTTCTTTTGTTAGGAAACTATACAAGGTTTGACCAAATCTTCTACAACTCTGTCTCTTCTCATTATAAGATGATCTTCGTTAAAAACTCTAGCATGAAAGAGGACATAAAATATGCATTCCTTCAAGGAATGCCAGGCCTTCAATTCTGTCATTTTTGCTGAAGATATAAGAGGCAACAGCCTGAAATCTATTCAATTTAATGTTTAAAATTAGGCCCATGTTTAATTAACTATGGAAAAGAGCATGCTGCTGGAATAATTTCTTATCTTGCAGAACTGCCATGTGGCCAATAAGTAAGTCGTTTCTCTGATGACAAAAATGGCAGTTCTGCACTGCTGTAATCTAAATTAGCATTGTAACCATGATGGCATTATATTACTAATCTAGTAAATTCTAAAATACTGTTTTTATTTTAGAATGTCATAAATAATACACTAAGTTGATGTTTTTATGGAAACAAAATACCATCCATGGCAGAAAATGTTCATGTTTTAACACCAAATTATGCTAATTATATTAGAATAAAACAGAAAAAAAAATCTGCAGTGAAAGAGAAATTTGTCAGTGTATTTAGCTGATTACCACAGAAACAGTCATTTGTTCTCCAGTCTGGATAATGCTCAGACATATTGTTCATTTGCAGAGATCACACGCACTATCAAAGGCAATCATCTGCTCCAGCAGGTCTTTGATTGTATTTCTCTCCGCGCATGTTTATGGTCACATGCATTTGCCCTTTCCTTGGTGCTCTGTGAAGCTTCTCAGCTATTGTCTCAAGTTCACAGATGAAAGGGTTCTGGATGTGCTCAGAGCTTTGCCACGGGGAGGCCGGCGCAGCAGCCACTATACAGCCATGATTCCACGGCTGTCCCCAGAGTGCTCMTGTCAAAAAGCCCAGCTTGAGGAAGCCTTGTCGGGGGACACGGTCCCACACTGAAGCTGGGCATCTGCTGCAGTGTGATAGCCTTTCAGCACATTATCGCATAAGGCTATTCTTCCTGAGCACGCTATAAAAGGATTTGTAGTAGATTCATAACATGCCAGGCTAAATAATGTGTACTGGTGGGGTGAGGGGGTGTGCTGGCTTTGTTCTTCTCTCCATCATCTTTATGCTACCATCCACTTGGCAACAGAGGCCTAGTGTTTGTGTTTGACAGTTTTTATTCACAATATGAAACTTGGGGACAAGCGAAAATGTCAAGGGACTGTTCTGATTTTTCTCAACAAAATGAGGGAGGCAGGTCACAGAACATATGATTTGACTTTTTTTTACATTCATATTATAGAAATTTCTGACGTATTTTCTGTACCCTGCTAAACATGTTTCAGGTTGTGAGTTGATGTCTAACTCAGTAGGAGGTAAAGTGCTGAATAGTCTGCCAATCCATTGTATTACATATTCTATAGGAGGAGAAAACAAAGTTTTTATCGGAGTTCCAAACACTTTCAGAATTTGTTTCATGTGGTGGTAACTGAAAATCCAAGAGTGTTAGGATTGAGCTAGGTTGGTTAGAACCCCAAGTGCAGAACTGAAATGATCTAGGCAAAAAAAAAAAAGGTGCAAAAGGACTTTATTAAACAAAATCAAAAAGCTGGCGTGGCAGCAAACAAGATACTAAGGTTTAGCTTAGTGATGGGCAGTTTGAAGCTGAAGCTTCAACGCATGTATTGAAAAAAAAACAACACACTGTTTCAGAAGCACTGCGTCGGAGCTTGATTCGTTTGGTAAAAGACATGTGATCAGTGACGTCTGAAGCTTCGAAAGTGGTGAACTTACGTCACTGCATTTGTACCTGATTCAAAGGTTAATCAGGAAGTGAATCATTGGCTGGATTCGTGGTGTGTTTTCATGGCAAATGCACAAAATATAACAAACCAGTGAAGGACTTATTGTGAGACACAGAGGCAAACAAACGTATGTGTTTAGTTTGTCGTGCAGTTTATAAGCCTGGGCCAGAAAGAGTGGGAGTCACGAACCCACAAAGAACCTTTGCTGCGA